CGGTGTTTGTTCCTGCAAAACAAATGAAATACACGCATACCAATATATTGTAATGCAGAATATATTAAGATGAGATGTAAATGATGCAGGAATGATGATGTTTAGCTGCCGGCGAGCCGTTATTTGGGATTGGGATGACAGGATATTTGATCCTGACTCGATTTGTTAGTCGGGTTTGGGTACCATTCCGCAGTTGTCGGAGCATTTGAAAATTGTCTCCGCTTGTTGGGAGAGCTTGATTGGTAAAGTGCGTCTCCGCTTGTTGGGAGAGCTTTGCACTGAGAAATGTCTCCGCTTGCTGGGAGAGCTTGATTTGTAGAGTGCATCTCCGCTTGTTGGGAGAGCTTGATTTGTATAGTGCGTCTCCTCTTGTTGGGAGAGCTTGATTTGTATAGTGCGTCTCCTCTTGTTGGGAGAGCTTTGCAATAAAATATAAATTATTCTCCACTCGGGAGCTATCGTAATCATGCCTAAAGTTGCACGAACAAAACGTTAGTAATAGCAAAATGAAATATAAGCATGCCCAAGAAATACTCTTGACTGTGAAACTAGGTTGAGGTTTCGAGGATAGCTCAATGCGAATTGAGACGACTAACTGTTATCTTGTGGGGAAATTAGTAAATGATAAGTTATCGTACTTAATTCATGGTCGATAATATCATCCATTAATCTGGGGATTGTTGATGAAGCTCGAACAATTGAAGGCTCACTTGTAATCCATTCGAAAATGTCTTTTGTTATAACTTCTTCCATACCAACCAAGGAAAGGGCAGCGGTTACAAGTGCATTCTTGTTATACTCCTCACCTTTTGGATTGTAGCCAGCATTCAACCATTTGGCTTCTTTAAAATAGGCTCTCACACTACTAGAAATCCGGTAAAAACTGACAAAAAAATTAACCAACTTTGGTCGGTAATGACCAATAATTGTCCAAAACGCGACCATTTACGTGTGGGCGGTATTTTAGGGGTCGGAAAGGTATACCGACCAAAATTGCAAAAGAAAACGACCAACTTTGGTCGGTTTTTTTCCGACCAAAGTTGGTCGGTATTTTAATTATGTAATCAAAAGATTCAGCATCTGGAAATCGAATCGGGGTCTATACTGTGGCAGGATACTATTCTACTACTAGACCATTGGTGCATTTTATTTTAAGACTGTCTTTTATTTGATTTATACTCTTTAATTGTATTTTCGCACGAAAATAACCGACCAAAGTTGGTCGGTTTATTAAAAAATAAAATTACCGACCAAAGTTGGTCGGTTTTTTAAAATGACCGCCCAAATTAATTGACTAACTTTGGTCGGTTTTTTTAAAATTAATTTTTATTTATTTTAATTGAACCGACCAAAGTTGGTAGGTTTCGTAAAAAAAAAAAAAAAATTGAAAAATCGACCAACTTTGGTCGATTTTTTGGCCGATTGTTTGACCGACCAAAGTTGGTCGATCGACCTTGGTCGGTTTTTGCCGAATTTCTAGTAGTGTCAACAGCTTTTTCATCTAAAAAGAAAATTTAAAAGGTAATAGAACCTAAGAAGTACATACCGTATCTTTTTGTGGATTGAGCATCTTTTATTCATCACTTAGTTTGATATTAATGAGGGCAAGTTAAGAAAGGATTACCTCAACTTTTCCATAGTAGATGCGCTCTGATTTACCTTCTTTGGCCAATTCCTCTTCCATTTCATTGAAGATATCAAGATTGGCTTGATAAAGAGGACTCATATATGGCGGTAATGAATCCATGGCACATATGTCGTCCCATCTACACATTAAGGGTTTTGTATCAAAATCACTAGCTATAGTAGTNATATATATATAATGTTTTACCTCTTGTACCGCATTGGTGAAAAGCACAAGTCGTCATAGGTTGCATAAGCATCAAATGTATCATCATTGGTGGAGATCATTTTGAATACTTTTATTTGCATTTTTCTCGCACGACTATATCGAGGGTCAAAATACACTCCAAACATCCAGAAGTAACTCTCCACTAATTTGTCTCTTACATATGGCAATTTGTTTATAAGATCCAAATCTTTCCACCAGCTAGAATATCACAAGAGCATTACAAGTTATATTTTATCTCATTTAAGCGAAATAAATATATGTACGTATGCATGTATGGATGGACAACACTAACAATGGTGTACCTCGTAAGATCGCTAAGCTCTCTTTGATGAAGCTTTTGCAACATGTTGAAATCCAATTTGGCAAATTTCAAAAGCAAGTCATCATGCGCTTCAATGTTCTCGTAAATGTAAATGTATTTCCTTGCTACCACCCTTGGTACAGTTTTGCGAATAGGGTGGCTTAAGGCTTCGGTAATTTGAACCTTAAGCCAATTATTGCTCAAGTTGAGGACCATGGACACGAGATGAGTGGTGGTAAAGGTGAGAGCTTCTTCAAGAATCTCCTCCCCGTACACTCTCAGATGTGCTGCTTCGTACAAACTTTATATATATATATATATAAAAAAACTCCAGTCAGGGCTAGTTTGCATATAAGTAAATAGATCAACAATTCCTACCATGTCCAGTTTTTTTTTTGAATGGTATATCATTGAAAATGAAGTTATGATTTTCCTAGTTAAAGAAATATCAATAATTAGTTCCCAGAGACTAGGTCAGGTGAAAATTTATATGATTGGATAATGTGGACTTCTCTATCAAGTTTAACCTTTAATAATGGTAACAAGGAACAATAAAAGTCGTCCTGAAGCTCTGTGAAAATTTTAAATTCTTCAATAGTTATTTATTGTTAAGTTATAAAAAGTAAGAGTAATTACATCTTTCTTAATTATTGAAATCGCTCAAGTTTTTCTTGGGTTGTAATTTCCTGCAAGAGAAAATATAGTAGTATTAGTTTTGAGACGGTGGCTACTGTATAACTTGATGATCTCTATTAAGCGATTACAAAAGTATTTTAATTAATAGAATAATAATTAGTTGTGATTAATGTAGCAATTCTTGTGTACTTACTGTTTGTTGAGAAGTGTAGGAGAGGAAATGGTGTCCCCAAACGGTTGAATGAAAATCTTCCAAAGGACGTGAGCTATCACTATCACTATTACTATCACTGCAGGAAGAAGGATCCATTGCTTGCCTCAATATTATGCGACGACCAGAGCTGGCCGGAGAAGCATATGAGTGTACTCTGAGCTGATCAGAAGTAGTACTGTTTCCCCGTATAGTCAATTGAAAATTTGAAATGTGAGGAAAAGCGACCGTTAATGCTCGACTCATTAGTCTCGATCTCTCACTTCCAAAGGGGTTTTGTGGTTCCCCTGCAGTTACAGTACTTGCGACTCACAACATATAGTAGAAGTTTAGATCATTATAAAAGGCTGTCTTTTTTTTTTTTTGTGACAACATGCAACGAGATGGAGAGGAGGCTCACTCGAGAAGGGACATACCACTATCGCTAGCTTCCATTTAACTCAATCGGGGAGGACATCTGTAACGACTCGGCTGGTAGTTTTGAGAGTATTAGCCCCAATCCCCTATTTATTGCTCCCTCTATTTTATTTTTGTGGTTCTGCGACTTGCCGGGGTGCTTGGTGTCGGATTCGGGAGTGTTTCAGAGTGAAATGAGACACATAGTCCCTAAATTGGAAGTTTAAGTCATAGGAGTCTATTGTAGTTTGATTTGTGTGAAGACGAGCCCGGATTAGAGTTTTGATGGTTCTGATATCTCCGTAGGGTGATTTTGGTCTTAGGAGCGTGTCCGGATGTTGATTTGGAGGTCCGTAGGTTATTTCGGCGTTAATTGGCGAAAGTTGGAAAGTTGGAAGATTTTGGAAAGTTTGACCGAGAGTGAACTTTTTGATATCGGGTTCTTATACCAATTCCAGAAGTTGGAATAGGTCTGTAATGTCAAATATGACTTGTGTGTAAAATTTGAGGACAACCGGACGTGATTTGATAGGTTTCGGCATCGAATGTAGAAGTTAGAAGTTCTAAAGTATTAGGCTTGAATCGATACTCGATTCGTGTTTTTAGCGTTGTTTGATGTGATTTGAAGGCTCGACTAAGTTCGTATGATATTTTAGGACTTGTTTGTATATTCGGGCGGGGTCTCGGGGGGAGCGGATGTGAATAGGATGGAAATTTGATCATTTTCAGACTTAGGGGAATTGTTGATGCTGGGCTGGTTCTGGTTTCTTCGCACCTGCGGAGGGACAGGACGCAGGTGCGGGCTCGCAAATACGGGGGGTTGATCGCAGAAGCTGGCCTGCCCAACTGGGACTGCAGATGCAGTCAGAGTTCCGCAGAAGCGGACTCGTTGGGGCGATTGAGAAAGCGCAAAAGCGGAAAGGCTAGCCAAGCCTGGGGTCGCAGGAGCGAGAGCGCAGATGCGCATTTGGGTCCGCAAAAGCGGAGGTTGCTTGGCTAAGTGAGAACCGCACATGTGATGGAAATTCCGTACGTGCGGAGCCGCAGATGTGGCTGTGGGTTCGCAGATGCAAAATCGCTGGGCAGAAAAGGTCTAAGTTCGAGGGTTTGATTTCATTGTCCATTTGTGAACCTAGAGATCTTAGTTTGCGGCGATATTTCGAGAGTTTTTCAAGAAAATCATTGGAGTAAGGAATTCTAACTCGATTTTGGCTATATTACACAAATCTATTGTTGTTTTCATCATTTAATTAGTATTTTTAGTTGAAAATTTGGGAAAATTTGGAAAGACTTCTTAGGCTAAAATTTGGGGATTTGAAAGCCGATTTGAGGTCGGATTTGAGTAATTCCTGTATGGTTGGACTCTATATCGAATGGGTATTCAGATTTTATAATTTTGGTCGGGTTCTGAAACGTGGGCCCCGGTCGACGTTTTAGAGCGATTTTTCAATTCTTTGTTAAAGTCGTAATTTCATCATTTAAATTAGTTTCATGTAGTTATATTTATAGTATGAAATTGTTTTGGCTAGATTCGAGTTGATCGGAGTTGAAAAATCAAGGGAAAGGCCTTCTTATTGATTGATTGAGTGGGGTTTGAGGTAAGTTACTTGTCTAACCTTGTGGGGAAACATTCCCCTTACAATTTGGTATTGTTATGGTAATTTGCAATATGTGAAGGCCGTATACGCGAGGTGATGAGTGAGTACTCGGGATAAATATTAAAAATTCGGTTTTTGCTAAGTAGTTTCCTTTTATTTTCTTAACCGAGTAACTCTAGCATTTGTAGTCATCATGTTTAGCCTAATTGCACATGTTTACGTGCCTTATCTCTTATTTGAAATTTGTACAACATCGTAAGTTGAATTACCTGCTTTCTTGATTTCATATTAATTCTTTAACTGTAGGATTTTTTGCTTGTAATATCCTTATTTCATTTGGTATGTGTTGGTTTTCGTGATTTTGTTGAGATAATTATTTGGTGGTGGCACAAGGTTTCTGTCATGCGGATTGTTATTTTGACACGAGGTTTCTGCCGTGTGGTTGTTATTGTTTGCATGAAGTTTATGTCATGCCGTTGTAAGATATTTACTTTTGGGACTACGAGGCAGTACCTTGGGAGTGCCCATGTTGATTTCCTCTGTTTGTTGTATTGTTTGTTGTTGTTGTTCCTTAACTTGTAAGATTTTTGTTTCCTTACGTGTTGTAATTGTCTTCTTTGATTTCTTATAGTTACCTTCCATAAATTTCTATTGTTATACTTATTTGTCATTTCATTACATCATTATATCTGCTGCCTTGTTTCTTATAAATTCCAGTAGGGCCATGACCTGACCTCGTCACTACTCTACCGATGTTAGGCTTGGCACTTACTAGGTATCATTGTGGTGTACTCATAATAAGCTTCTGCACATCTTTTTGTGGAAATCCGGGTACTTCCTACCAGACCAGGTACCAGTGAGCTAACCCATATGTGGAGACTTCAAGGTATATCTGCTAGCATCCGCAGACCTTGAGTTCCCCCTCTATCTTTATTATGTTGTTTCCTTATCCTCATTAGACTCTGATGTATAGAGATATTTAGTATTTCTCTTTAGAGCTTGTGACTTATATCTACCGAGTTTTGGGAGTTGTTATTACTTGAATTGTAGTTTTCATTTATTACAGATGTTGACGTTTTGAGATTTGACTTAATATTTCAGATATTCCGCATACTTGTTAGGCTTACCTAGTCTTAGATACTAGGTGTCGTCACGATATCCTACGGAGGAAAATTGGGGTCGTGACAAGTTGGTATCAAAGCTCTAGGTTCATAGGTGCTATGAGTCACAAGCAGGTTTAGTAGAATCTCTCGGATCAGTACAGAGACGCATGTATTAATCTTTGGGAGGCTATGGAACTTCTAGGAAGAGCTTCACTTCTTTGATTCCTTATCGTGCAAAATCTTTGACTTCGGATTCTAAATTTTATGTCTTTCTATTCTCTCACAGATGGTGAGGACACGTACAACTGGATCAGATGACCAGACACCTCCGCCCCCTGCTAGAGCCACGAGAGGCCGTGGTCGGGGCCGGTGTAAAGGCCGAGGACGTCCATGTGGTGCAGCCAGAGCACCCGCATGAGCTGCTACAGCGGAGCTGCCAGTAGCTCCAGTTAGAGGGCGGGCACCTGAGACGCTTGTTACTGTACCAGCCCTCCAGGAGACTCTCGACTAGTTTCTGAGCATGTGCAACACTTTGGCTCAGGCAGGGTTGATACCACTTGCTCCTGCCACATCCCAGGCCGAGGGAGGAGCAAAGGCTCCCGCCACCCATACCCAGAGTATCGGGTCCAGGTCGACCAGGTTCCAGAGGTCATACTACTGTAGCCAGTATCCCCAGTTCGGCCCGAGGCTAGGGCAACAGTTTCTGAGGAGGAGCATCTCAGGATCGAGAGGTACAAGAAGTACCACTCTCCTACTTTCAGTGGCTTGGCAATAGAGGATGCCTAGGGTTTTCTTGAGGAGTGCCACTGTATCCTACATACTATAGGTGTTGCAGAGACTAGTGGGGTTTCTTTCACTATATTCCAGCTTAGAGGAACGGCCTATCAGTGGTGGCGAACATATGATTTGGGTAGTCTAGTCGAAGCAGCTTCACACACTTGGACTCAGTTCTCAGATATGTTCTTGAGGGAATATGTTCCCCAGAGTCTAAGAGATGCATGGTGCGCAGAGTTTGAGCAGTTGCGCCAGGGTTCTATGACCCGTGCCCATGTTGATTTCCTCTATTTGTTGTATTGTTTGTTGTTATTGTTCCTTAACTTGTAAGTTTTTTGTTTCCTTATGTGTTGTAATTGTCTTCTTTGATTTCGTATAGTTACCTTCCATAAATTTCTATTGTTACACGTATCTGTCATTTTATTACATCATTATATTTGTTGCCTTGTTTCTTATAAATTCCAGCAGAGCCCTGACCTGACCTCGTCACTACTCTACCGATGTTAGGCTTGGCACTTACAAGGTATCATTGTGGTGTACTCATAATAAGCTTCTGCACATCTTTTTGTGCAGATCCGGGTACCTCTTACCAGACCAGGTACCAGTGAGCTAGCCTGTACGTGGAGACTTCAAGGTATATCTGCCAACATCCGCAGACCTTGAGGTCCCCCTCTATCTTTATTATGTTGTTTCTTTATCCTCATTAGACTCTATTGTATAGAGATATTTAGTATTTCTCTTTAGAGCTTGTGACATATATCTACCGAGTTTTGGGAGTTGTTATTACTTGAATTATAGTTTTCATTTATTACAGATGTTGACGTTTTGAGATTTGACTTAATATTTCTGTTATTCCGCATACTTGTTAGTCTTACCTAGTCTTAGATACTAGGTGTCGTCACGACATCCTACGGTGGAAAATTAGGGTCGTGACAAGTTGGTATCAGAGCTCTAGGTTCATAGGTGTTATGAGTCACAAGCAGGTTTAGTAGAGTCTCTCGGATCAGTACAGAGATGCCTGTACTTATCTTTGGGAGGCTATGGAACTGCTAGGAAAAGCTTTACTTCATTGATTCCTTATCGTGCAAAATCTTTGACTTCGGATTCTAAATTTCATGTCTTTCTATTTTCTCACAGATGGTGAGGACAGGTACAACTGGATCAGATAACCAGACACCCCCGCCCCCTACTAGAGCTGCGAGGGACCGGGGCCGGTGTAGAGGCCGAGGACGTCCATGTGGTGCAGCCAGAGCACCCGCATGAGCTGCTACAGCGGAGCCGCCAGTAGCTCCAGTTAGAGGGCAGGCACCTGAGACGCTTGTTACTGTACCAGCCCTCTAGGAGACTCTCGACTAGTGTTTGAGCATGTTCAGCACTTTGGCTCAAGCAGGGTTGATACCACTTGCTCCTGCCACATCCCAGGCAGAGGAGGAGCAAAGACTCCCGCCGCCCATACCCCAGAGCATCGGGTCTAGGTCGACCAGATTCCAGAGGTCATACTATTGTAGCCAGTAGCCCCAGTTCAGCCCGAGGCTATGGCAGCAGTTTTTGAGGAGGAGCATCTCAGGCTCGAGAGGTACAAGAAGTACCACTCTCCTACTTTCAGTGGCTTTGAGTCAGAGGATGCCTAGGGTTTTCTTGAGGAGTGCCATTGTATCCTCCATACTATAGGTGTTGCAGAGACTAGTGGGGTTTCTTTCACTATATTCCAGCTTAGAGGAACAGCCTATTAGTGGTGGCGAACACATGATTTGGGTAATCTGGCCGAAGCAGCTTCACACACTTGGACTCAGTTCTCAGATATGTTCTTGAAGTAGTATGGTCTTTAGAGTCTCAGTGATGCATGGTGCGTAGAGTTTGAGCAGTTGCGCCAGGGTTCTATGACGCGTGCCCATGTTGATTTCCTCTATTTGTTGTATTGTTTGTTTTTGTTGTTCCTTAACTTGTAAGTTTTTTGTTTCCTTACGTGTTGTAATTGTCTTCTTTGATTTCGTATAGTTACCTTCCATAAATTTCTATTGTTACACCTATCTGGCATTTCATTGCATCATTATATCTGGTGCCTTGTCTCTTATAAATTCCAGTAGGGGCCTGACCTGACCTCGTCACTACTCTACCGATATTAGGCTTGGCACTTACTAAGTATCATTGTGGTGTACTCATAATAAGCTTTTGCACATCTTTTTGTGCAGATCCGGGTACTTCCTACCAGACTAGGTACTAGTTAGCTAGCCCGTACGTGAAGACTTCAAGGTATATGTGCCAGCATCCGCAGACCTTGAGGTCCCCCTCTATCTTTATTATGTTGTTTCTTTATCCTCATTAGACTCTGATGTATAGAGATATTTAGTATTTCTCTTTAGAGCTTGTGACTTATATCTACCGAGTTTTGGGAGTTGTTATTACTTGAATTGTAGTTTTCATTTATTACAGATGTTGACGTTTTGAGATTTGACTTAATATTTCAGTTATTCCGCATACTTGTTAGGCTTACCTAGTCTTAGATACTAGGTGTCGTCACGACATCCTACGGAGGAAAATTGGGGTCGTGACAAGTTGGTATCAGAGCTCTAGGTTCATAAGTGTTATGAGTCACAAGCAGGTTTAGTAGAGTCTCTCGGATCAGTACAGAGACGCTTGTACTTATCTTTGGGAGGCTATGGATCTGCTAGGAAAAGCTTCACTTCTTTGATTCCTTATCATGCGAAATCTTTGACTTCGGATCCTAAATTTTATGTCTTTCTATTCTCTCACAAATGGTGAGGACACGTACAACTGGATCAGATAACCAGACACCCCTGCCCCCTGCTAGAGCAGTGAGAGGACGGGGCCAGGGCCTGTAGAGGCCGAGGACGTCCATGTGGTGCAGCCAGAGCACCCGCATGAGCTGCTACAGCGGAGCCGCCAGTAGCTCCAGTTAGAGGGCAAGCACCTGAGACGCTTGTTACTGTACCAGCCCTCTAGGAGTCTCTCGACTAGTTTCTGAGCATGTTCAGCACTTTGGCTCAGGCAGGGTTGATACCACTTGCTCCTGCCATATCCCAGACTAGGGGAGGAGCAAAGACTCCCGCCGCCCATACCCCATAGCTGCGGGTTCAGGTCGACCAGGTTCTAGAGGTCATACTACTGTAGCCAGTAGCCCTAGTTCGGCCCGGGCTAGGGCAGCAGTTTTTGAGGAGGAGCATCTCAGGCTCGAGAGGTACAAGAAGTACCACTCGCCTACTTTCAATGGCTTGGCGTCAGAGGATGCCTAGGGTTTTCTTGAAGAGTGCCACTGTATCCTCCATACTATAGGTGTTGCAGAGACTAGTGGGGTTTCTTTCACTATATTCCAGCTTAGAGGAACGTCCTACCAGTGGTGGCGAACATATGATTTGGGTAGTCTGGCCGAAGCAGCTTCACACAGTTGGACTCAGTTCTTAGATATGTTCTTGAGAGAGTATGTTCCCCAGAGTCTCAGAGATGCATGGTGCGCAGAGTTTGAGCAGTTGCACCAGGGTTCTATGACCCGTGCCTATGTTGATTTCCTCTATTTGTTGTATTGTTTGTTGTTGTTGTTCCTTAACTTGTAAGTTTTTTGTTTCCTTACGTGTTGTAATTGTCTTCTTTGATTTCCTATAGTTACCTTCCATAAATTTCAATTGTTACACTTATCTGTCATTTCATTACATCATTATATTTGCTGCCTTGTTTCTTATAAATTCCAGTAAGGCCCTGACCTCACCTCGTCACTACTCTACTGATGTTAGGCTTGGCACTTACTAGGAATCATTGTGGTGTACGCTTAATAAGCTTCTGCACATCGTTTTGTGCAGATCCGGGTACTTCTTACTAGATTAGGTACCAGTGAGCTAGCTCGTATGTGGAGACTTCAAGGTATATCTGCCAGCATCTGCAGACCTTGAGGTCCCCCTTTATCTTTATTATGTTGTTTCCTTATCCTCATTAGACTCTGATGTATAGAGATATTTAGTATTTCTCTTTATAGCTTGTGACTTATATCTACCGAGTTTTGGGAGTTGTTATTACTTGAATTGTAGTTTTCATTTATTACAGATGTTGACGTTTTGATATTTGACTTAATATTTCAGTTATTCTGCATACTTATTAGGCTTACCTAGTCTTAGATACTAGGTATCATCACGACATCCTACGGAGAAAAATTGGGGTCGTGACAAGTTGGTATCAGAGCTCTAGGTTCATAGGTGTTATAAGTCACAAGCAGGTTTAGTAGAGTCTCTCGGATCAGAACAGAGACGCTTGTACTTATCTTTGGGAGGCTATAGATCTGCTAGGAAAAGCTTCACTTCATTGATTCCTTATCATGCAAAATCTTTGACTTCGAATCCTAAATTTTATGTCTTTCTATTCTCTCACAGATGGTGAGGATACGTACAACTGGATCAGATGACCAGAAACCCCCGCCCCTTGCTAGAGCAGCTAGAGGACGGGGCCGGGGCCAGTGTAAAGGCCGAGGACGTCCATGTGGTGCAGCCAGAGCACCCGCATGAGCTGCTACAGCGGAGCCGCCAGTAGCTCTAGTTAGAGGGCAGGCACGTGAGACGCTTGTTACTGTACCAGCCCTCCAGGAGACTCTCGACTAGTTTCTGAGCATGTTCAGCACTTTGGCTCAGGCAGGGTTGATACCACTTGCTCCTGCCACATCCCAGGCCGGGGGAGGATCAAAGACTCCCGCCGCCCATACCCCAGAGCAGCGGGTCCAGGTCAACCAGGTTCCAAAGGTCATACTACTGTAGCTAGTAGCCCCAGTTCGGCCCGGGCTAGGGCAGCAGTTTCTGAGGAGGAGCATCTCAGGCTCGAGAGGTACAAGAAGTACCACTCGCCTACTTTTAGTGGCTTGGCATCAGAGGATGCCTTGGGTTTTCTTGAAGAGTGCCACTGTATCCTCCATACTATAGGTGTTGCAAAGACTAGTGGGGTTTCTTTCACTATATTCCAGCTTAGAGGAACGACCTACCAGTGGTGGCGAACATATGATTTGGGTAGTCTGGCCGAAGCAGCTTCACACACTTGGACTCAGTTCTTAGATATGTTCTTGAGAGAGTATGTTCCCCAGAGTCTCAGAGATGCATGGTGCGCAGAGTTTGAGCAGTTGCACCAGGGTTCTATGACCCATGCCCATGTTGATTTCCTCTATTTGTTGTATTGTTTGTTATTGTTGTTCCTTAACTTGTAAGTTTTTTGTTTCCTTACGTGTTGTAATTGTCTTCTTTGATTTCCTATAGTTACCTTCCATAAATTTCAATTGTTACACTTATCTGTCATTTCATTACATCATTATATCTGCTACCTTGTTTCTTATAAATTCCAGTAAGGCCCTAACCTCACCTCGTCACTACTCTACTGATGTTAGGCTTGGCACTTACTAGGTATCATTGTGGTGTACGCTTAATAAGCTTCTGCACATCGTTTTGTGCAGATCCGGGTACTTCTTACTAGATTAGGTACCAGTGAGCTAGCCCGTATGTGGAGACTTCAAGGTATATTTGCCAACATCCGCAGACCTTGAGGTCCCCCTCTATCTTTATCATGTTGTTTCCTTATCCTCATTAGACTCTAATGTATAGAGATATTTAGTATTTCTCTTTAGAGCTTATGACTTATATCTACAGAGTTTTGGGAGTTGTTATTACTTGAATTGTAATTTTCATTTATTACAGATGTTGACGTTTTGAGATTTGACTTAATATTTCAGTTATTCCGCATACTTGTTAGGCTTACCTAGTTTTAGATACTAGGTGTCGTCACGACATCCTATGGAGAAAAATTGGGGTCGTGACAAGTTGGTATCAGAGCTCTAGGTTCATAGGTGTTATGAGTCACAAGCAGGTTTAGTAGAGTCTCTCGAATCAGTACAGAGGCGCCTGTACTTATCTTTGGGAGGCTATAGAACTGCTAGGAAAAGCTTCACTTCTTTGATTCCTTATCGTGCGAAATCCTTGACTTCGGATTCTAAATTTTATGTCTTTCTATTCTCTCGCAGATGGTGAGAACACGTACATTTAGATCAGATGACCAAACATCCCCACCCCCTGCTAGAGCCGCGAGAGGTCGAGGCCGGTGTAGAGGCCGAGGACGTCCATATGGTGCAGCCAGAGCACCCGCAGGAGCTGCTATAGCGGAGCCGCCAGTAGCTCCCGTTAGAGGGCAGGCACGTGAGATGCTTGTTACTGTACCAGCCCTCCAGGAGACTCTCGACTAGTTTTTGAGCATGTTCAGCACTTTAGCTCAGGCAGGGTTGATACCACTTGCTCCTGCCACTTCCCAGGCCGGGGGAGGAGCAAAGACTCCCGCCGCCCATACCCCAGAGCAGCGGGTCAAGGTCGACCAGGTTCCAAAGGTCATACTACTGTAGCCAGTAGACCCAGTTCGGCCCGGGCTAGAGCAGCAGTTTCTAAGGAAGAGCATCTCAGGCTCGAGAGGTACAAGAAGT